GCCGACGCCGCCGACGCCGACGCCGACGACGTTGACGCCGACAACGACGCGGTTGTGCCATGTTTCCCCCGCACCGTGCAAGGAGAGCATCCACAGGCTGAGGCTGTGGCAGACGACTCGGGCCACTATACGCGGACGCACGCCCACGAGGAAAGAGCCACCCAAGACGACTCGACTTGCCCCACGCGAGGATGCATCGCCGATCCCCTCTCCTCCTTCAATTTTTTTGATATTGCAGCTATCGGCTGCACCTCCTCCTCTCCTCCTCCTCCCACTGCGCAGGGCACTCTCACAGCAGGACATGGGCACAACCCACAGGTTGCGCCACGTTCCCCCCGCACCGTGCAAGGACAGCATCCCCAAGCTGAGGCTGAGGCAGACGACTCGGGCCACGATACGCGGGCGCTCAGCACTGCGCAGGGCACTCTTACTGCAGGACATGGGCACAACTCCCATCCTGGCACACGCCTCCCAATTGTGACCAATTCCCCCCGCACCGCGCCAGCCTGGCGGCCAACCTCGAGGCTTGCAGTTCCCCCCACAGGGTCCTGCCAGGCGTGCAGCTGGAGCTGTCGCGAACAGATCGCGAGCCCCCCAGCCAGGGCAGCGAGGCCCTTGCGGTGGAAACTGGCGGCCAAGACACACGGCCACACCAGAGGCCCAGCCCGCGGCAATGGCCAGAGCCCAAAGACCCCCACACGGGGCAGCAGCTGTACAAAACAGGAATCAACAACATCCAGTGGGACCTCCCCGGGGAGACGCCCAGCGAAGCGATACGCCGACTCCAATTCACACTAGGACCGATGTTCACTGGCACCTGGCACGCTTTCGCCAAGCGGCAGTCTGTGCCCGGCAGCAAGGGCGCGTTCGACCCGCTTCGGCACTACCCGCAGACCTGCCACTTCTTCCTGGAGTCCTTCCGCAGCCACAAGTGCGACGTACGGGTCCTCAGCGCCGCGCTGGGCCTCAACGTCGACTGGACCCGGCAGCGGCAGCTGCACCTGGCTCGGTGGCGCCCGGCTCGCGCGGCACTGTGAGCCACCCACAGTTGGGAGACCACGGGACTGCCATCCAGAAGCAGGACAACGCAGCCCTTCGCCGGCCCATACTCCCATACGGGGTAATTGCCACTGGTGACGCTGCTGTCCTGCACAAGTGGCACATCCTTTGGCTGGCTCCTCCGTCCCACGGCGGGCCCGGCCCACTGCTTGGGAAGTTGTTCCCCCAGCTCCTGCGACGGAGTACATCCGACGACTGGTGGCCTTGCTCTGGTGGCGTTTCCCCCCACCAGGCTGGCGCCTTCCCTCTGGTTACATTCCGACTACGCCATGTTGGGTCCTAGACCTCGAGCACGACCGCGACGTCGACCCTGACGGCGACCAGGACAGACGACCAGAAGAAAACGGACGCTTAAGGACACGAGGAAAACGGACGCTTAAGGACACGAGGAATACGGGCGTGGGTCGGAGCGGTTGTCACTGCGGAAGCGGCGGAGGCTGCGGAAGCCGCGGAGCATCCCCCTCTGGACTGTCTGTCCGACTGCGACGACGATGCACATCCAGCGAGGTGGCCTTGCTCCGGTGGCGTTTCCCCCACACCAGGCTGGCGCCTTCCCCCTTGTCTACATTCCGACTACGCCATGTTGGGTCCTCGACTGCCTGTGTCGCCTCATGGCTCTCCTCCTCCTCCCCCTTGGCTTTCTCTGGTTTGCGGCTTTCGGCTGCGCCCCCCCCTCTTCCTTCACGACGACTGCAGTGGCGGGCCCCTCGTCCACTGCGGGTGGGCCCAGGCAAGGCACACCCCTGCACAAGTGGTTCATCTTTTGGCAGGCTCAGCCATTTCACGACCGCTCCACGACGCCGTCGTCCTGGAGGCTGGCTTCCTGTACAAGTGGTGCATCCTTTGGCAGGGCCGTGCTTCCTCTTGGCAGGCGTTCTCCGGCTCCCGGCTATGCCAGCGACATCGGCCCTTTCTTTTGGTAGGATTTGTCGCTCGCGGACGCCAACAACGCCCTGCCCTTCTGCGATGTTCAGGTGGTGCACACCTGCCCGCAGCCCCCCCCTGGCGGGGCCTCTGAACGCTGGCGGGTAGTGCCGCCGTGGTTCCACGCGACGCCCCCCCCCGTCCATGGACGCATGGAAGTTGCCACTCGGGACTCACGCCAAGACTACCGTCGCTTGGTTCAGTGGCGACCTTTCCGCGAGCACGTGGTGATCCGTGAGTGAGGCTCCCTTGGCCCCCCTGCCCGTCTCCTGCCCCTCTCTTCCCCCCTCCGTTATCCCCCCCTGTCGCCTTGCCCTTCGCCGTCCGGTCTGTCGGGTGCTGGCGCCACTGTGCGACGCCCCGCTGTCCGTCGTCGGCTGCCCTGCTTAGGTGCGTCTCCTCGAATTTGCTCGGCATGCTTGCATGTGCGGTCGGCTGTCGACAGCGACGGCTGGGTTCGCAAATTACCTGGTTCTGTGCCCCAGTCTGCCCGATTGACCCGCCCTCTGGACTCTTCCTTTGGGCCGCAGATCGAAAAAATATCCCCACCAGCACTTTTTGCGAAATATTACTGCAGGTGCGTTGCCTGTTGTAGCTAATTAGCCTCGCCTGCTGGCCCAGACGACGCCTTCCGCTCCCTGACCGCTGCCTCGGAGCCGCCGACCAAAAAGTATCCCCACCAGCCCATCCAGAAACGATGTCCAGGCGAGTTGAGAGGTGATCAGGGAAGTGCGGGAGCAAAACGGGGGACGGCCGAACCGCGTGAAGGAGGGAGGGGGGGCGAAGGAGAAAGTTGAATGGATGGATGAGGGAGTAGGCAGAAGGAGGATGAATAGGATGAGGAAGAGGAGGAGGAGGAGGAGGAGGAGGAGGAGGAGGAGGAGGAGGAGGAGGAAGAGGAGGAGGAGGAGGCGGAGGCGGAGGGGGAGGAGGACAATGAGAAGGGATAGGAGGAGGAAGGAGGAGGAGGATGAGAGCAAGCAAAAGGGCCAGAGGTCTCTTGGATGTTTCTCGGAGCCTCTTGGGGTATCTCTTGGGCGTCTTGGGACGTTTTGGAGGTCTCTTGGCGGTCGTGGGGGCTCTTCGGCGTCTTGGGTGCCTCGGGGGGGCCTTTTGGGGCCGCTTGGGATCCTTTTGGGGGCCTCTTGGGGGCCTTTTGGGGGCCTCTTGGGGCCATGTTGGGGCCATGTTGAGACCTTTTGGGGCCTCCTGGGCGCTTTTGGCGGCCATTTTGGAGGAGATAAATCAAACAAGAGGGGAGCATTAATTAGCGCCCCCCCCAAGAGGCCGAAATGGGGCCAAAACCATAGTAAAACCAATGATTGTGGCGTCCTCGCCGAGGCCGTTTTGGACGCTCCGACGACTCGCGGAACCCCTTGTCCAGGTCCATGGGGAAGGGGTAGGGGGGGGGTCAAGACCGCAAGCCGTCTCGCTCACTCCCACCCGCCCTCCCAACACATACGTAGCACCCGAGTTTGGCCCGAGCCTCAGCATATTCAGCACTCGTCTTTGGATGGGTAGCTACTGGGGGCCAATCCGCCGCCGCCACCGCCGCCTCCGCCGCCGCCGCCGCCGCCGCTGCCGCCGCCGCCGCCGCCGCAGCCGCTGCCGCTACCGCCACCGCCGCCGCCGCCACCGCCGCCACCACCGCCGCCGCTGCCGCCGCCGCCACCACAGCCGCCGCCGCCGCCGCAGCCGCAGCCGCAGCCGCCGCCGCAGCCGCCGCCGCCTCCGCCAAGTGTACTCTGTATTGGTTTTTGACAGGGATGGTGGGGGGGGGGCTCACCGGGTTGGCTGCGCATGTTCCGAATTTGGAGGCAGAGTGTGTTTTGCACTGTTTTGTTACAAGGGATTGTGGGGGGGTGTCGTCATGGACTTGGGTTGGCCCCCAGTCGCCTGGGGGAGGGGGTGTTTATTAATAGGGAACAGTGATAAACCTTTCCCCGAAGGGGAAGAAGGAGGGGTGGAAGAGGAAACTCCATAAACCACCTACGCCCAGAGGGCTGGTGGGATTGCACCCAAAACTCAGGCACGGTGGTGGTATCGGCCGGAGGCCAGTGGAGGGGGTGCCGAATAGTTTGGGTGTTCTCGCGCGAACCCGCCCATTGAGGTCGCAGATGGAGCTCCTTGTGGGGCACAACCCGCGTGAGGCATGTGCCAAAATGGGCGGAGAGACGCCATGCGAAGTTGCCCATTGGTGCCACAAGTGAAGCTTGTACCAGGACGCGATTCGCGTGAATGATGTGCCGACATGGGCTGAGGGACGATTCGCAAACCTTGTCTCTGGGGCTGTGGGTGGTGCTCTCCGTGGGGCACGTTCAGCGTGAGGGGTGTGCCGTAATGGCCTGGGGGGTACGGTATGCGAACCTTGTCTCTGGGGCCGTCGGTGGAGGTCCTTGTGGGGCACGATCAGTGGAAGAGGTGTGCCGAAGTTGTCGGGGGGGCCGGATGCGAACCTTGCCTCTGGGACCGCAGGTGGAACTCTTTTCAAAGCACGGTGCGTGTGAGAGGTGTGCCGACGTGAGTGGGGCGACGCTATGCGAAATTTCTTTCTAAGTGCAGCTACCCGCGGGGCAGCACGATCTGCGTGAGTGGTGTGCCCCTCTGCGATGGGGCCGTAGGTAGAGCTCCCTGCGGGGCACGATCCCTGTGAGGGGTGTGCTGAGATAAGCGGGGGGCCATGAGTGGAGCTCCCTGGGGGCACGATCCGTGTGAAGGATGTGCCGAAATAGGCGGGGAGGTGCCATACAGGTACACCAGCCTACGATAGCGCAGGTGTTCCCACATGGTGATCGTGGTGGTATGGCGTGCATACCCATCCGCTGATTGATCTGACTTTTGTTTTGCATTGGCTAGAACATAAGCACGCAGCGCGCGCGTTGATCTAGTGTGTGTAAATGTGTATATATCTATATATATATAAATATAGATATACATTGAGGTGGCACACGGGGTTCCCCAAAAGGCCTGAAGACGAAGACGCTATTTGAAGACGCTATTGGCCAGGGGCGGTCGAGCGGGTGAAGACGCTAATCGCTTTGAAGACGCAATTGCGCAACCACAGGGTGAAGACGCAAATGCGCATGAAGACGCAATTCCGTTTGAAGACGCAAATGTGCCTGAAGACGCTATTCCCGGCGGGGATCCCCATTCCCGGGGAATATGACGCTATTCCCGGCGCAGACGCTATTCCCGGCGCAGACGCTATTCCCGGCGCAGACGCTATTCCCGGCGCAGACGCTATTCCCGCGAAGACGCTATTCCCGGCGAAGACGCTATTCCCAGCGAAGACGCTATTCCCGGCGCAGACGCTATTCCAGGCGAAGACGCTATTCCCGGCGAAGACGCTATTCCCGGCGAAGACGCTATTCCCGGCGAAGAC